CTGTGTGACGCAGCTTTTCTCAGCTTGTTTAACTCCGACACTGAAGAGGAGGACTTCGATGGTTTCAGTGCGCCGGAGGAAGATGAATGAAATGTTTTGTTGAACCAGAAACTGTTAAAGAAAACTACCAAAAAAAGGTCAGTTAAATGAACCGTATTCCTCCGAACTTTAAWTCYTAAAGGTTTGCTTTTTATGTTTTGATGTTGAATTCACTTTTTTGACAGCAAATTTGGGTGTACTGTTTTTTTTATGTTGGGGGTGCGGCTTATAGTCCAGTGCGGTTTATGTGTTAATGTTCGCGGATTATTTTTTTAAAAATGGCGGGTGCGGCTTATAGTCCGAAAAATACAGTAAACTCCTCAGAATGAAGAGGTCTCTTGGAAGAGAGACTAAACTTTTCATTAAAGAACCCTTTTTTTAAACTACGCAATTATTTCAATTCTTTCCATGTTTGTTGAAATGATTAAAATAGGTTCTTTTTTTCTTAAGATAAATATACTATTTAATTGAATTTGGTGTCTGAAAAAGAGCAAACATATAAAGTTGTAAAGCTGACAGTTATTTTCAAGTCTCAATCCTTTATTTCTTTCAAATCTTAAGTTCCTTCACTCTGGTTTTATTTAGATGCTGGTCTTAATTTGTATTTTTCTTTTTGTTGTACGTTAGTTCAGAGTAATTATCTGGTTCTTTTATAAGTGGTACATTTGTTCAAATCTGCTTCCTGTTTTTTTTAGTATTTATCGGATGTATGAACGATACTAAAAAAACCTTAATTTTTCAGGTGGATTTTAAGTGATATTTTAATGATTTCAGTCAGGCCCACCATTGAGTTCTCTCTTTTTTCTTTTATTTCAAACTTTGTTTAAAGGGGCAATATCATGTAAAATCAACTTTTTTGAGTTTTATTTCATGTTATAATGTTATACTCTCATAAAAACATGTCCAAAGCCTTGCTTTGACTCATTCATGCATGTTTGAGAAATCCTGCAGTGTTTTTAGGAAGCCATGCTGAGGAGCAAAACGACAGGTGGGGACCAGAAACGCCTTTTGGGACAGAAACGCCTTTTGGGACCAGAAACGCCCCTGGGACGTGTCTTTAAGCCGAGCTTCTCCCCTCCCTCCCCACACACCCCGCCCATGGAGAAGGGGTTATCTGCGGAATCAAAGTGGGCATGTCACAAGAGTGGGCGTGTCTAAACATAAACACTGTGGGCTACGAGGCCTACATGATGGTATACTTAGACCCTGCTTGATCTCTTTACAGCCCGACCCTGACCCCAACACTAAGGTTAACCAGGAGAAATGTGATCCAAGTAGGGTTCTCTAGAAAAAAGTGGTGCCGTACAGTAACGCCCCTTTTGTTCTTGTCCAATCAGGTGGTGCCGTACAGTAACGCCCCTTTTGTTCTTGTCCAATCAGGAGGTGCCGAACGGTGTTGCCCCTTTTTTGCTTGTCCAGTCAGGTGTGTCCCTTTAACAAAGTCCGTCAAATCAGGTGTGTCGCTTTAGAATCACCTTTCGTTGTGACACGCCGACTCGTCCGCAGAGACCCCTACTTGATTTGATTTATTTATTTAACAGGAAAAGATTATTGAAAATCAAGCCTGACTCAGCATAATTGCTGTTTTACAGCAGGTTCCTGTTCTGCAGCACATAAA